AGGGCGCAAAACAAGTTGCGCCAGTCTGCGTTCGGGGAAGGAAAGGAGTTTCATCGCCCAATCCGAAGAAAGGGTGCGAAACTCGGCTCTCAAGATCAATGGGGAAAAAAATTGTAGGGTCCCAGTCCCGTCAGACCCGCCCTCCATGGAAGGTCCAAGGGATATTTCTACATATTGACCATAGCTACCGGAAATATCTGAGTTGTTTGATACCATCTGGCAAACAATTTAAAATTGGCATCTTTAAGACTAGAGTTCACGGTACTTTTTGGTTCCGTATAATGGTTGGTTATATCTCCTGGGGGCCCTGGGTGTAGTGTGTGTGTGTGTGTAAAGGGTCTGTTTAGATCAGTGGTAAGTACCTTTTTCTACCTACCGCCCGCTAATGCTAATGATGAAAAAATTCCTTACCGCCCACCAGTTTTCGCGCAAGAGCAGAGTATTTTTTTAGAAAGGAGTGTGTTTTAAAAAAAAAAAAAATGTATGTACATTTATCTTTTTATTTCTACTTTATGCATGTTTATAATGGTTTTTAACTTTATAAAGTTTAATGAGAAACCAATAAAGTAAATTGAAATTACCTTTTACTATTGATTAATGAGATCCTTGAGGCTGATGCTGCAAGACTAAATATTTCATATCTGGTTCGATTTTTCGTAATGAACAAACGAAGGTCTCCTCTTTCGGTGATAATCAGACGATTTCTCTGTTTCCTTTTTTATTTTCCTTCTTCAGGGCCCCCCGAGGCTGGCCTTGGCATGTGAGCTTACACTTTAATGACCAATGCAGTGGTACTAGAACCTTTGCTATTTAAATGTATATTGTAGTAGTGTGCAGGAAAGTATTTAGATTTTGTTTTCTTTACACATTTGGGTTGACAAATACTGAAGAAACGTTTGCTGAGTTTGATTGCAGGGCTAACTTCTTTGTTTTCAAACTGCCCTTTTGGGGTCACATAAACTAATACCATCAATGTGCAGGAAATTTGGTCTACTACAGCCACATAAATCAAAAGATAAACCCAGAACAGAGTTTGGAATAACATAATGATAAATGTATCCTTCCAGGTTACATTCATTTGATATTTGAATGCATTGTTATTATCATAATCCTAAAAACATTCTTTCAACTCTACAACTCTTTGCTATCAAAAACCGCCACTAGAGAGCGCTATATGACTTTTAAATGCTCAATTTCAAGTTTGAGAGTATTTGCTAATTTAGTGAATTTCTATAACTCTATCTCCTGTTAATCAACAGAATCATGTTTGTAATACATACAAATTAGGCATCAGTAATTGCTATATACACAGTTGGGAAGTGCCTTGCGCACTAGTGTGTGTGTGTTTTTTTTTTTGTTTTGTTTTTTGTAAACTCGAACAATTTTCTACGTCCGCTTTACTTCCAGTTCCAGTGAATTTGAACTTTAATTACAATTTGAATTCTCACTAAAGTAAATAACCCCTACAGGCACAATAACCATGAGGATAAAACAGCAGTTCATAGGGTTGTATGTCAGGACACAATATTTTCTATGCAAATTTGCACTAAAAAAATTACAAGATTCAGAGGCCCATCACCCTCAAACAGCTACAATGTGAAATCTTTGCACGTCAGCCAAACGTTGATAAAATACTGCACTTCCAAATTCTAAATTAATAAATTGATCCTTGGACACGTCTTCTGCTGGTGTAGCCCACACAGTACAAGGTTTAAATGCCCTGTGCTTTCAGAGAGGAATTTCTGATCATTCTAATCTTAAATAGTGATGCACCGAACGGTTCGCTGGCGAACAGTTCCTGGCGAACATAGCGTGTTCGCGTCCGCCGCGGACGGCGAACACATGCGCGGTTCGATCCGCCCCCTATTCGTCATCATTGAGTAAACTTTGACCCTGTACCTCACAGTCAGCAGACACAATCCAGCCAATTAGCAGCACACCCTCCCTAGCAGACCCTCCCACCTACTGGGCATCCATTTACATTCATTCTCAAGCTGCATGCTTGGTGAGAGGGAGGAGAAAGTGTAGCTGCTGTTGATTAGATAGGGAAATGCATAGCTAGGTTAGGGTTAGGGTATGCTTTTTTTTTTTTTTTTTGTGTAATGTAATTGCAGTTAGTTGTCTGCCACTGCTGCCAGCTTTTGTGTCAGGTTCACAGTGGATACTGTGCCCATTGCCCAGTCAGTGCCACCACTAATATCTGGTGTCACAATAACGCATTTAAAAACAAAAACTTTTCACTGTTATAGATTGAATAGCAGTCAGTGTCCTTAAAGCGGGTGTGTTAAGCTCACAGTGGATCGGTGCTTGACCACAATAGCTTTGCATTTAAAACAAAAACTTTTTCGCATTATAGATTGAATAGCAGTCAATGTCCTTCGCTTGGTGTGTCAGGCTCACAGTGGATACTGTGCCCATTTGCCCAGTCAGTGCCACCACTCATATCTGGTGTCACAATAGCTTGCATTTAAAAACAAAAAACTTTTTTCACTGTTATAGATTGAATAGCAGTCAGTGTCCTTAAAGCGGGTGTGTTAAGCTCACAGTGGATACGGTGCCCAGTGCCACAATAGCTTGCATTTAAAAACAAAAAACTTTTTTCACTGTTATAGATTGAATAGCAGTCAGTGTCCTTAAAGCGGGTGTCAGGCCTCCTTCAGCGTGTGCTCTGCAGACCTCTGCTCGTGTACTTTGCCACTCATATCTGGTGTCTGGTAACACTTGCGCATGAGTACGCAATCCCCAAAATGACAGGCAGGGCAGGCCACCACCCCTGCAAGAGTCATCGTGGTCGTGGTGCTGTGATTCCCTTTGGCCCTAGAATGTGCCAGTTTTCAGAGGCCATGTACCCTGAACTCAGTTCGGGGACATAGTTGACTGGCTAACACAGGACGCAATCTTCTGCAGCCTCCGCTCAGGGAAACTTGGCGCACCATCCTCCTCCAGCAGCTTCAGGCACCTCTCAGATACCACTCACCCGCCTGCAGCCACCACCGAAACTAGCACCACAGCGCTTCGCGAGGTATGTCCAGAGGGTTATTCACACATCCGTTTGAAGAAATGGTGATCGCGCCAACCATTGCCAGAGGATGTAGATAACAGGGATATGTCTCAGGCAGGCAGCATTACACACATGGACCTGGTCTGCAAACGTACGGTGTGATGATGATGATGTTGTACCCGCTGCTGCTTCCTTTGCTGAGTTGTCAGATACAAGTGAAGCAGTTGATGATGACGATGCGTCCATGGATGTCACGTGGGTGCCCGCTCGTCAAGAAGAAGAACAGGGTGAAAGTTCAGATGGGGAGACAGGGAGGAGGAGGAGACGAGTTGGAAGCAGGGGAAGGTCGTCGCAAGGAGCTAGTGGCACAGTCAGACAGCATGCATCGACACCCGGGGTCAGCCCGACAGCACGCCAATCAACGCATGCTGTGTCCACCATCAGAATGCCGTCATTGCAGAGCTCAGCAGTGTGGAATTTTTTTTGTGTGTCTGCCTCTGACAACAGCGATGCCATTTGCAACCGAGCCAAAAGAAACCGAGTCGTGGGAAGTCCAACACCCACCTAGGTACAACTGCTTTGCGTAGGCACATGATCTCACATCACAAACGCCTATGGGATCAACACATGAGTGCAAGCAGCACGCCTACTCTAAGCCGCCATCCTCCTCCTGGTCTAGCATCTTCAGCCACGTCAACCACTGCTGTCCTCCTTGCCCCCTCTCAACCATCCGCCACTCCGTCTCCCGCCTTGAGCAGTTCCTGCTCATCTGCCCACAGTCATGTGTCTGTCAAGGACATGTTTGAGCGTAAGAAGCCAATGTCAGAAAGTCACCCCCTTGCCCAGTGTCTGACAGCTGGCTTGTCCGAACTATTAGCCCGCCAGCTTTTACCATACAAGCTGGTGGAGTCTGAGGAGTTCCAAAAATTTGTAGCTATTGGGACACCGCAGTGGAAGGTACCCGGCTGAAATTTCTTTTCACAAAAGGCAATCCCCAACCTGTACTCGATTGTGCAAAAGGAAGTAATAGCATGTCTGGCACACAGTGTTGGGGCAAGGGTCCATCTGACCACTGATACCTGGTCTGCAAAGCATGGTCAGGGCAGGTATATCACCTACACTGCGCATTGGGTAAACCTGTTGACTGCTGCCAAGCATGGAATGTGTGGCTCTGCAGAGGAGTTGGTGACACCGCCACGACTTGCAGGCAGTCCTGCTGCCACCTCCTCTACTCCTCCTACTCCATCCTCTTCCATAACCTCCTCGGCTGAGTCCTCTTCTGCTGCTGCGTCTTGCTCCACATCAACGGCAACCCCCAGCTCCCCAGGTACTATTCCACATCCCGGATACGGCAGTGTCACGCCGTCTTGGGTTTGACTTGCTTGAAAGCAGAGAGTCACACCGGACAAGCACTCCTGTCCGCCCTGAACGCACAGGTGGAAAAGTGGCTGACTCCGCAGCGACTGGAAAATTACTTATTTTGGTTATTTTTCTTCTTTGTTTTAACTTCCATTTTACCTTATTCTTTCCACTCTATCCCCTGTTGCGATGGATAACTTGGAGGCTTATAGTTTCTTTTTTATTATTATTTACAAGTGTGTAGCTATTTCAAGGGCTAAAATCATTCACTTTCCTGCCTTCCCATGTGACTGTTAAAATTATCACCTTGATTTATAATTCTTGGATAAGCTTTTCAAATAATTTAATATTTTCAGATAAACTTTTAAAATATTTTTTTCTAAATATCAAAAATGTATCGTATAAAATAAATATATCAATATATAAAAATAATGAACATATTAAAACATATTTTAAAAAATATATTAAATAGGGGCAGAACCAGCAGCCATACCAAGCAGACGTGCATCAGATGAGCTCCCAGCAAAGCAGTAATAAATTGCTGATTGTTTCAGCTTTAACTTACCCCAATGCCTAAAAACAAGGGTAAACAAAAATAAGAACTACAAACCCTGAAAAACCTCTGGCGACCGCCAACATCATGGAGTTGCTCAGGAGGACACGTATCCCGCAGAGGCCTGTAATGGCACCTCCCTTTGACAGCTCTCACAATTAACCAGCAAGGCCTTCGTTGATAGCAAAAAAGCAGACAGCGAGGGAGCATACTGCCCCGCCTTCTGCACCTACTGGAGGCTCACCGGTAATGGAGGGCATGATGAGAGACCTCCTAGGCGAGCTCTGATTAAACATCCTGGCAATATAGGCCAATTCCAAGAGGAGATTGGAGGAGCAGAAGCCAGGCTTACCAGTCTAGAAAATAAACTGCAGGCGTTACAACGCGAACGTGCTCTGGCCACAGACCGCATGACAGTTATGGAGGATAAGAGACGGTGGAAAACTGTAAACATGCACAGCCTTGCAGATGACATGGAGGCTGCTGAAATTCCACACTTCTTCAGGAGACTGCTGGTGAGTCTCTTTTCTTCCAAACAGGCTAAAGTTATGCGGCTGGATGGCTGCTACAAAATACCAGCATCACCAAAAACCACTGTGGGTAGCAGCAGGGATGTCATTATCCACTTCTAAAATAGGCAAGATCGCCTAACCTTTATGACTGCGGTTAGCAACAAGTCACTATATAGGTTTGAAGACTACGCCTTAACGTTCTACCCAGATTTGTCTAAGGACACGTTAGATTGACGGAGATCCTTGCGGCCCCTAACTAAGGAACTTGCTACCCACAAAGTACCACAAGTGGGGTACCCCACGATGCTTAATCATCTCTAGAGACTCTAGGACTTTAAAAGTTCATGATCTCAGAAACTACTAACGTCCTTCAAACACTTGGGCTGCTGACCGATGCTGTAGAGCCGACATCGATACCGCAGAGTTCCTGGTACCACTTGTTTTGGCTGCGCGGGGGGAGTCCCACAACTGCAGTGATACAATCAGTGATCTCAACCTGATGGCAACCTACACTGCCTCACATTGTTAATTATTTTTGTTTTTCACTTGTTTATTTCACTTTTCATACCACATTGAGTACCCTAAGATGCTCACCCTTTTGTACAGGCCAGCTGTACCTGCTGGAAAACAGGGTTTACCTCCCCATATTATCCCCCCACCCCCATCCAATACTCCCCCGCATTGAGCCATTAGCCCAATTTTAGCACTGTGGGTGATAGTCTCTGGCGACTCTGTTCTGGTATACTTACCTTCATCCTATATATATGTCGCCAACGCAGTTGGCATTCTCTACTCCGGCATAACTACTTGCATTGGTCATGATATTTCTCTCTGGAGCGAGACGCACTATATGCTATTTTTGTATCTTACATTACTTAATCTATGTAACTTAAATAAAGAGGCAGCTTCTACTAGGAGTTTATTCCATAAAGCTTGCTTAAATTGTGAGATTCCTTTTTATATACACATGTATACACTTGTTCTGAATCCTTGCTTTGTGCATTGTAATTATCATTATCCTCAATAAAACAGAGATTAACAAAAAAAAATTCTCAAAAAGAATTGTTTTTAATTATTTTAAATAGTTTATCCATAAATATTAAATCATTTAAAAAGCTTATCCATAAAATATAAAATTGAGGCCATTGGATTCTTGCAGGAAACTCTCCTACCTCTCAGTGGTTGCAATTATGACACTAGTATATGCCACTAATTCATTTTGCAAATATAATGGCTTCACGGGAAATGTTTGTTTCACGTTTCCAGTGTTCTCATAAATGATGAGGGGAGATATGTTTTAGTCACTGGATCTATGGTTTCTTCTACCTGTCACTTGCTTAATCTATGTGCCCTGAATTTACCCAATGCAGGATTATGGGACAGTATTGGCAATAACACTAAGACTTTGGAAGTGTCTGTTGGTAGCGGGGAACTTTAATGTGGTCCCATGTCTGCCAGCTGATGGAAGCTCCCATCAATGTATTTTGCCGTCCCATGGGAGAGAAGGGTAGACAAATTTCTCTGGAATTACAATGAATCGTGTGGTCTCATCAACATCTGGAGGGCCCACCATCCTGATGCTATAGACTATTCTTTTTTTTTTTTGCCCCGCATGGTGCTTTTAAATTAATTTTTGGGAAACACACAATTGGTCTCCTTTCTTACTGGCTCAGAGATATAATTACAGAGATGTAAAATATTTACTGGTTACACCATGCTGATATAGCACTGTATCTTAAACAATGTATGGAGGTCACCCGCTTCCCCCAATGGAACTGATGCACTGCTGCTAGTGATGTCGATGGGTGTGGTCAGCAATAAGGTGGTTATTTCGAGCCACCTTATTAGGATAGCTACCCATAAAAAGAAAATGAAATGTCAAACTTTTACCTTTAAGAAATCTCTACAAAAGACTGAGTCCCAAAACTGATCCTAACCCTAATACCTTGAAAGAAACGAGAGCAGTACACACCCAAATAAGATACCTTCTTGCAAGACAGATGCAGTATTTTTGCTGTTTCATTTTTCATTTCAGAGTAGGGAGATAAAAAAAAAAAGTGCAATAGAGTATATTCTGGTGTAGTATTCTTAAAAATAAAGGTAAGTGTATAGTTGCTTTAAATAGGTGTTCACCTTATTCAGAGCCCAAGTACCTGGCTCTGGGTTTGACAGCTTGGGTGTCAGTAAAGGGGACACCTCCCTTCTTGGAGCAGGTTAGATGAGGACCAGGAGCGGACTTGATATAAAAATGAATTTATTCTGACAAAATAGTAATAAAATACAAAATATTACAATAAAATCCATATAAAAGTCTATAGATACAGTGTCCAACCAGTGTCCTTGTTATCTGAGACGCGTTTCACCCTTCACAAGGGCTTTTTCAATCAGCATGTCCTGCTCCGTTTCTTGTCTGATTAAATATGCCGGTCCGGCTTCCCATTGGTGGGTGGTGTCTTGTGGCATCCAATCAGGTGTCTCTTTTGAGGGGGGAGTGTGGTATCCAGCCTAGTCCCATCAATTTATTATTAGTGTACCGGAAGTGACGTTAAGCACTTCGCTGCGTCACTTCTGGTTCTGAACTCGCCATATTGTGTACGGGCACTTACTAGGGGAGAGACCTGGCACCATTATACGTGTCTGTCTCTCCTATTATGCCCGATGTTGCATACTTATTTGAAGATCCCTTTATACACATATACATTATAGGGGCATGTGCCCCCTGTCCTTAGTTAATATTGTATTATCATTTATCATAAGGAGGAAAAAAGACTATGCTAACATGCAGTGACAAAGATTTCAATTATATTAAGAAGCAGTTTCTCCTCATCTTAAAAACAACTTGGATAGTACAAATCAACCCCTGGGCATAGAGTCTGTAGTGAGTCAACAGCTGGAAAACCGTTGTTTTACCATCTGTAACTGTCCAACTCTGACACATTCTTCCCATTTTTTTAGTGACTTCACCAAGCCTTATCAATTTAGCCTTCAGTGACTTCTATCATAAATTATACACTGCCTGCCCCAAAAAAAAGTCGCCACTAAAATAAATGGTCACCCACTCTAATATTTCGTTGGACTGCCTTTAGCTTTGATTATGGCATGCATTCTCTGTGGCATTGTTTCGATAAGCTTCTACAATGTCACAAGATGTATTTCCGTCCAGTGTTGCATTAATTTTTCACCAAGATCTTGTATTGATGATGGGAGAGTCAGACCACTGCGCAAAGCCTTCTCCAGCGCATCCCAAAGATCCTCAATGGGGTTAAGGTCTGGACTCTGTGGTGGCCAATCCATGTGTGAAAATTATGTCTCATGCTCGCTGAATCACTCTTTCACAATTTGAGCCCGTTGAATCCTGGCATTGTAATCTTGGAATATGCCCTGGCCATCAGGAAATAAAAAAATCCTTTGATGGAATAACCTGGTCATTCAGTATATTCAGGTAGTCAGCTGACCTCATACTTTGGGCACATAATGTTGCTGAACCTAGACCTGACCAACTGCAGCAACCCCAGATCATAGCACTGCCCCCACAGGTTTGTACAGTAGGCACTAGGCATGATGGGTGCATCACTTCATTTGCCTCTCTTCTTACCCTGCCCTGATGCGCCGATCACTCTGGAACAGGGTAAATCTGGACTTATCAGACCACAAGACCTTCTTTCATTGCTCCATAGTCCAATCTTTATGCTCCCTAGCAAATTCAAGCCTTTTTTTCCAATTAGCCTCACTGATTAGTGGTTTTCTTAAAGAACCCCTATAGTGCCAGGAAAACATACTCGTTTTCCTGGCACTATAGTGCCCTGAAGGTGCCCACACCCTCAGGGATCCCCTCCCGCCGGGCTGGATGGCGAGGAAAGGGTTAAATCTTACCTTTTTTTCCAGCGCTGGGCGGGGAGCTCTCCTCCTCCTCCTCTCCGCCTCCTCCTCTTCGGCTGAATGCGCATGCGCGGCAGGAGCTGCGCGCACATTCAGCCAGTCTCATAGGAAAGCATTCATAATGCTTTCCTATAGATGCTGGCGTCTTCTCACTGTGATTTTCACAGTGAGAAGCACGCAAACGCCTCTAGCGGCTGTCAATGAGACAGCCACTAGAGGCTTTAGAGGCGGGATTAACCCATTTATAAACATAGCAGTTTCTCTGAAACTGCTATGTTTATAAAAAAAAAAAAGGGTTAATCTTAGAGGGACCTGGCTCCCAGACCACTTCATTAAGCTGAAGTGGTATGGGTGCCTAGAGTGGTCCTTTAAGGCTACATAGCTATTCAGACCCAATCCCTTGAGTTCCCTTCGCATTGTGCGTGTGGAAATGCACTTTCACTAATAAACATAGCCCTGAGTTCTACGATTGTTTTTCTACGATTTGATTTCACCAAACGTTTAAGGGATTGCCAATCACAATCAATCAGGATTTCCGACTACATTTCTTCCTCGAAGACGATGGTTCCCCACTATCCTTCCAGTTTTTAATAATGCATTGAACAGTTCTTAACCCAATTTTAGTAGTTTCTGCGATCTCCTTAGATGTTTTCTCTGCTTGATGCATGCCAATGATTTGACCCTTCTCAAACAGACTAACATCTTTTCCATGACCACGGGATGTGTCTTTCGACATGGTTGTTTAAGAAATGAGAAGCTACTCATTGAATCATTTGGGGTTAAATAACTTGTTGCCAGCTGAAAGATAATCGTCCATGCAGTAACTATCCAATAGGAGGCTCTTTCCTATTTGCTTAGTTAAATCCAGGTGGCAACTTTTTTTTTGGCCAGGCAGTGTATAATCATACACCAGACCATTCGAACACTAATGATAGGTGTAAAATGGTTTATCTAGTTTGTTTGGATTTTTTTATTCCATCTATTCCTCAACCACCCCGCACCCTACCGCCGAGACCAGCTCTAGATTCTGAGAAGTGGTGAGAAAAAATGCAGAGCTTCACTGAATTTGAGTGTGAAGTGAGGCCTGAAGAACAGAGATGGAGATTGAACAGTTTTATGAAGGTATTTACAGCTAGGAGAAGCATAGCAAAGAGGGAGACTTTGCTATGCTCCTCCTAGCTGTAGACTAGCCATGTGTTGAATATAATTGGAAAGTTTAGCAACCAAACTCTATCACCCAA